AGTATATGATCAGTCAATCAGTTTCAGTTGCCGCCGATCGTTTTCCGGGTCTCAGAAGCAGTAGGGTTCGATAATATCTCAAACGCAGCCAATGCTATTCCAGCGTCTGACCTGAGGTAAATGATAAACTGAGTCTGGAAAAAAGTCCATCGAGGAGTGTCCATCTTGCTCCACGTGATTCACTGCAGTACCTGAGGTCTTTGGCTGGTCGGCTGAGCAACCTAGTTGCTGCTAACTTTGATATCTGAAAGCACTTTCAACATGTGCCAAAACCGCCGGTACTCGCAATATCTCCTCACTCAGAGTTAAAGAACAGGAGCTAATTCATGAGGTCGTAAGGTACCCAATGGATATGGTTGGCTCTCGTCAACGAAATGTCAAAACTTTGGCGATCTGTACCTCTGCGGTTGGAAGCTGTTCTACTCAGGTAGTGATATGACGACAAGCGCTCAGGCTGACAGTAATGTCTTGGTAGAACCTGGCAGACAAAATTGCTGAATGTAAGCCTGTCAGCGGAAGAGTGGTAGTCATCCGACTGAACATACAAAAAGCTAAGGATCTGAAATCGTTACAGGTCTATGCGCTCACTTCAGAGAAAGAATATGAGCCCTCCCTGCATGAAGTCGAAGGGGCTCTGTACGAAAAGCAGGCTATTATTCCGATGGGCGATTTCAACACGCATTTTGCAGCAGACACTGAAAAGGAGCGATTGGAAAAAACGGCCATAGAGAGCTCAACAATAAGGGCATGAAGTTGTTGCGCCTCAAAGGCATTTTCTTCAAGCAGTGAATGATGCATCAGTACACTTGGTACCGGGAAGCTGGTGCACAGAAGTCGATGATCGATTTGATAATCGTATCGTCTGACTTAAAACGCTCAGTAATGAATGCTCGCGTTAAGAGTGGCGCAGAGCTATCCCCTTGTTGTTGGCACGCTAAGCTGTAAGAAATGGAGTACCATACGAAGATCTGATGGCAGAAGGAACCTGAGAATCAAATGTGAAACAGCCTTCTGCGGACAAGAGAGCGAAATTCGCTGTCTCATAGTGTCTGAAGTAACAGTCGATATTGCATTATAGAAAAGTGACAAAGTTGCTGGATGTTAGAGAAGACGAAATCTTACCTGAGGTGCTGAAAGCATCAAGTCGAGCTGATAATCTGGTTTACATAAGCTGCTCAGACTACCGAGGCATCTCCCCGTCTACAGTATTCTGTGCAATCTATGCGAAGCGTGTGAAAAGGAATTGTCAATAAATGAGAGAACAGAAGATTCATGACGAGCAATGTGACATCTATCCCGGTCTTAGCACCGTGGATGAAGTTTTGACCATCCGCTGAGTCTGAGAAAAATTCAGGTAATATATAAAGGAGGTCTATGCTTATTTATAGACATGAAAAAATAGGAAAAGGAAAGTTTGTCATCGTTGGAATGTAACTTTCACGATTAGGCCATTTTGACGCCTTTCTTTTTATGAAGTTGATGCGGTGCTCATATCCGTTTCTACACCATCAGCAAGAAGTGTTTCATACTTTTAAAGGCAGAATCTACAGCACTGTGGAAAGGGTAGCGTGAAATCTGTGTCATTCCTACAAAATGGTGCGCATGTATTAACCTTAGAAGTAAGAAAGGCGGGTGACCTCAATTGGGGCTTAAACCCTGGACCTATCGGTTCTGAGATCGCCGCTCTACCGACTGGGCAATCGCTGCCTGAACTTATGTGATGTGAGTTCCTAGCTCAAGGGAACATAGCATAACAGAAAACTTGCCCTCGAGCGGAATCGAACTCAGCACCTCCTGAGTTCGAAGGAGATTTTTTAGACACTATGCCAACACGTCACGACTTGGAAGAAACTTACGATACAATACTATAATTGAAACCATGGAGAGTACAGTTGGAAAATAAGGCAGATGGCCGGCTACTGTGAGTTATCACGTCCATGTACGCTTGCCTGGAAGTTTGTATCTGGATTATTGGCAGGAAGACAATGCTTTGCAAGGTAAGTTTTTGTCTCCGTCAAGGGTGCATGCTGCGCTCATCCTCAATTCATAGTTTTTATGAATTAGATGAACATTCACAGCCTAGTCAAAGTGAACGTTACAGTTTGAGGGATTGACTGAGTAATCTGCTGTTTGTGGAGGATCGCTTCATGTTCGCTTCGTTCAATGATGATCTTT